CAGAGCAAGTAAAAGTGTATTGCTAATTGCAGATCTTGTTGCCATATGTAGGCAAAGCAGATTCCGTTTAGGAACAGGAAGGAATTTCTCTTTCATAATAAAATCCCAATTCTAAGATAAGAAAACGATTGGCAGTTTTTTTAAGAAGTAGCACTGAATGAAAACAAACGATAGTGTATACAGCAGTATACAACCGATTATATGTAATATAGGCATATATGTATTATATGTAACCAAAAATTACAAACTTGCCATGTGCTACGTACAATGGTTTTATTATTTGATAGCTGTAGTTCATACATTTAAAAACAGAAGAGACAGCTGTTCCCAGGACACTGAAATTAATTCAAGGAAGGGGATTTGCAGTACATTAACTTTTTAAAAAGTCTTTTGTGCCAGACTAACAAAAAAAAGACTATCTAATCAAACATCTGCTCTCAAAATTAATCTTAATAGACCTTAAAAGCAGCAGCTCTCATTTTTTTGTGCTGTGTTCTTACAGCATAAGCGAACTTTTGCACCAAGGTGAATGTAGCCATTTAAAATCATAAATATGCTGCTTTTTTAAAAGGTTGTATGCCATTGTTATATGATTTTAATAGAATGTCTTTTTCAATTGTGCCTGATCTGAGACTCTAAGATACTTGAGATTCATTTTATCAACATCACAAAGAAGTGGGGGTTTTGTTGTTGTTGTTCCAAAAGCATTTATGCAGGGGTCATTGTGCTTTGCTCTGGTTAAATCCTTCTCCCAGTTCTGCTGCTGGATTTCTACCTTCAGTGGCCAGCATCACTTTCCAATCTGTTTCCATCAGACCTTACACAGGTCACGTGACATCACCATCCCAGGCCCTGAGCACACAAAAATAAGATTCTACACTGTGACAATGAAATGGAAGTCATTGTTCTGCTAAAGCATATGACGAAAGAATTTATGATGAAAAGTGTCCTTTGAAAAGGGCTAAAACTATTTAGATCATTGCACGTCAACAATGTCACTTCTTAAAGGCCCTTGCCTAGGGCTGGGAGGTTGGCTCAGTGGTAGAGCGCTTGCCTTGCATGCCTGAGGCCCTGGGTTCGATTCCTCAGCACCACATAAGAAAAAAGAAAAAAGCTGGAAGTGGCGCTGTGACTCAAGTGGTAGAGCGCTAGCCTTGAGCTGAAGAGCTGAGGGACAGCGCCCAGGCCCAGAGTTCAGGCCCCAGACTGGACCCAAAATAAAAATAAATTTAAAAAAAGGTCCTTACCTATTCTGCACGTGCAGCTCTGACCATGTAGCCTCTGTTCAGAGACACAAGTGCAGTCTGCAGGCCAACGTTGCACTTTCTCGTTACTTAAATGGTATACTACAGGAAAGTGAACCCTGTCCAGGGCTGGAACTGTGGGCTCAGAGAACTCCACACAGCTCCACCCACTCAAGGTTCTCCTTCTGTATCTCTAAAGGACCCTAACTCAAATTGAGAAGAATGAAAAATCTCTCTCCTTGAGATCCTCTGTCGCCCCTTTCAAACTAGAAGTAATGAGCCACTCACTGGGCACCTGAGGTGTGAGATGCCAAGTCTGGTTCCCTTCCAGTCTAAACAACCTGGTGCTTTACCTCCACCATGACACCTGGCCTTTAAAAGGAAATGCACTGAGGACCAGTATTCTTCCATCCCAGAACAACTTAAGCATTCAAAGGAGAGCCAAGACTTCCTTACAAGAATCCCCATTATTGCACCCCACCTTGCTTTCCCTCTCCCTCCCTTCCTCCCCTCCCAGATGTTCCTTCCACAAAGCCTGAGCTTGAGAATTTTTTAAAAAAGATTTCTACCTGCTTCTAATGTTCAGATAAGTTTGGGAACCTCTGGCACTGAGCCCATCATGACTGAGCTTTAAATATCTACTGCACAAGAGAAAGCAATCAGTACCTGGCACACATTAGATGCTTCTGAATTCTCAGCTCCTTCCCCTTGCCAGATTATCTCTCCTGGGTTTTTCTCTGGGTTGCCTGAAGACTTGGTGTCAGGCTGGGACTCTAGTCTAGTTGGCTGCCCCTTGTGGCCAGGCTCCTGTTAGAAGGAAGAAAGCTTGGGTGGAGTGTGTACTGTAATACCCTACAGAAAGAGGAGAGGAGGAAGACAAAGATAAATTCCCCTGCAGCGGGGAGCCACCGAGAGCCAGTTAAGAGGAGGTCTAATCAGTTTGATTTCCAGTCCACTGTTCAGTAAAGCCCCTGAATGCTAATTGAAAAGTAACCTTGGAAACCAGAGCCTGGTATTGTACCAAACAAGAACGAGCCAGAACGTACAAAAGGCAAGTCCAAGGCAGAGTTTCAGTGGGTCCTGAGGGCCCTTATTTTGGGGGACTTTTATTTCCAACATTTGTTGCAGTAAATCCTTTGTCTGCTATCCAAGGTCAGCCATCTGAACGGATCAAAGTTCCCAAAAGTTGAATATGTGGTTTTAGTTTCCATGTCTTTTAGTAGCTTTGGGGGGAGAGGCTCCAAATTCTGACAGCAAAGGAAACATCTAAATCATTTTAAGATTTAGAAGCTGTATCATCTCTCCTTTCCATAAAATAGGAAGGAGAATGTTAAAGAATTTTCTGAAATGTTGGTGGAAGGACCTGTCTCTTCACCAACGACATGAATTATTACAAACTTAGGAGCAAAAAGAATAGTCTCAGGGTCTTAGTAGTTAGCAAGATGAGAATATCAGTTGATGTACTAAGCTTGTACTATAAGCTTTTTATGATTCAAGCAAATTCTTAAATTGCATCCTGGTAACATGATAAAAAACATTTAAGAACTGGAGGGGAAACTGGTTGGTCTGTGAAATCATTTTCTACTTGACCCCAGAATCCTGAAAGAGTCAGGAGGGTTTTCCTGGCCAAAAAATAAAAACCACTGCCAATAACTTTAGAGAAGACTTCCAGCCTACTAAGTTTTGAAGACATACATTCTGAATAAGAGAAGATAATTCCGGATAATTCTACACTGAATAGGCATTACATAAGTACTTTGAAAATCACTTGTTTTTAAAAATTACTGTAGATGAAAACTTCCTGATTTTGACACCTTGTGAAAATTGAGTTGTTTTTAAAAAATGAAAATATGCTGCACTCCTTAGTATTTAGCACTTGTGTAATGCTTAACTTTTATATCTGGTACTAAAAATATGTAGAGCTATTCTACATATCCACCACTCCCAATTTTTGAGGATTTCTTTTTAATAGAGTCTCACTTTGTAGCCCAGGCTGGCATGAAGCTCAAAATCTTCCTGCCTCAGCCTCCTGAGTGCTGAAGTTACAGGTATATGCCACCATGTCTGGTTCTGGCTTTTAAAAGCTGTGTTGAGGAAGTAGAAAGGTGGCTCAAGTGGTAGAGGACTAGCCTTGAACAAAGGCTAGCAAGAGCATGAGGTCCTAAGTTCAAGCCCCAGTACTGACATGAAAGGAAAAAAAAAAAGCTGAGTTGGTATATAGTTCTCCAGGTGTTAAAAATATATTGGTAGAGCCAGGTGCTAGTGGCTGACTGACTGTAATCCTAGTTACTCAAGAGGCACGCTGAGGGGCTGGGAAGATGGCTCAGTCGTAGAGTGCTTGCCTCACATACATGAGACCCGGGGTTTGATTCCTCAGTACCACATAAACAGAAAAAGCCAGAAGTGGCATTGTGGCTCAAGCGGTAGAGTGCTAGAGCTGAAGGACAGCACCAGGCCCAGAGTTCAAGCCCTACAACTAACAGAAAAAAAAAGAGGCAGTCCGATTGTGGTTCAAAGCCAACCCAAGCAGAAAAGTCCATGAATTATATACATGAATACATATATTGCATATAATATATGCTATATTATATAATCTATAGCATATATCAAATTATAATGTTGTGTATGTTACTATTTTATTCTTATATATTATTATATGCTATATTATACAATATAATATATAATACATAGTATATACAAATACATATATAAATATATGTAAAGATATATTTATAAAATTCTAATATGTAATATAATATATAGTGTATAGTATGTAATATTTTACTATATAATATATATTATTAAATATATCTCCACCTATATACTATTATATTGACCAAAATATATATTATTATGTCCATATATATGTGGATATAACTCCAAGTTTGTTACATATGTTTCTGTCTTACTAGTTTTAAGCTCTTGTCAGGGCAATTTCTTTGAGAACCCTTCTCATTCTAAAATGGATCCTCCCTCTTGTGATCCGCCCTCTATTGCCTTTTGAGTTTGTTAGACCTTCATGTTGAAAACAAAGGTTGCACTTCACACAGCAGAGAAAGTTAGAATGAGCACAGATGTTGCTCAGGAAATACCTGATATTCTGTTGGTCTACTTGCAGTTCACAAGTATGGCTCCTCGATCTTCTCTACCTTCAACGTTCACAATCACCCAGGCCATGCATGTGCTTTGTTTGGGGGTTAGCTTGAGGTTTGCATGCTTTGAAAATGAATTCCAGACATTTTCAGCATTGTTCCCTTTAACTGCTCAAGAACATCTTGCAACCATTGAATATTTTTTTCATCTCTTTCTCTACTTCTCATCAGTAGTTATGATACCTACTATCCCTATAAAAGCTAATCTTATCTGTTGGACCACTATTTTATGATTCTAAGTTGGCTAAAGCCTACTTTCATTCCTATTCTAGCCTTAGACATAACATGAACTTGTGGATATAGCTTGGTGTGTGTGTGTGTGTGTGTGTGTGTGTGTGTGTGTGTGTGTGTGTGTGTTTGAGTTGGCATTGGGGCTTCTAGATATTCAAAATCAACTGATAGTCAGGCTTTTTATTCCCAAGGCAGATCTTGCTGTCATCCAAGGGCTCCGGGGCAGCCCCATGAGGCACAGGTGTGCCCTCTGGCACCCTCTCGGGAATCTTGAGCCCTAGTCCCTAACTGGCAACAGATCCTCAGGTACTCTGGCAAAACCTCAGCTGGGGCTTCAGTGTCAATGTGGTTTCCCATCTTCTGCCTACCACAGGGTCCTGTTGCATCTACCACATCAGCATTTTCTGTCCTGTCATCTGGGCCTGGCCTTCCACCACCTCCCCCTCCACCGCCTCCTCCAGGACCACCTCCACTTTTTGAGAATGAAGGCAGGAAAGAGGAGTCCTCTCCTTCACGATCAGCTTTATTTGCCCAGCTCAACCAGGGAGAAGCCATCACAAAAGGTGAAAAAACAATTACTTGAAGCTTCTTATCCTTGTAGCTCCAACACACAGATTTCCCCCAGAGCCCCAGAGACAGCACCATTTCCATCTCCAGCACCTGGATGGAGAGAAGCTGAGGCTGGGGAGCAGGGGGAGGGGAGTCTACAGCGGTCAGGTCTGGGTAGTCAGTCTCAGTGGGCTGCCACATGGACAAACTCAGAGACAATGGTTCCTATTCAGTACTGTTAACATCACTCACTTACCTCTCCTGCCCAGTGCTTCAGCACCAGCCTCTAGAACCAAGGCATCTAGAATATTCTATGGGTGCACAAAAATACCACAATGTAACTCCTTCATACAGTTAATCTATGCTAATAAAAACTGTATTTGAACCAGATTGCTGGTAGTTTGTGCTCATAATCCTAGCTATTCAGGAGGTTGAGTTCCGAGGATTGTGGTTCAAAGCCAACCTAAGCAGGTAGACTTTTATTTCCAATTAACCAACAAAAAGTCAGAAGTAGAAATAGGATTCAAGTAGAACAATGCCAGCCTTGAACAAAAAAGTGAGACACTGAGGCTTAGAATTCAAGCTTCGTTAACTGGTACCAAAAGAAAAAATAAAAAAAAAGATAGGCAATAGCACCTCTGTCCTGAAGTAGTGTGCTTATTGGCTGGTTGAAGAATTTCATCATTCGCTGGCACTGGTGGCTCACACTTGTAATTCTAGCAACTCAGGAAGCTGAGATCTGAGAATTGTGGTTCAAAGCCAGCCCAGGTACACTGTTATCTCCAATATACTACTCAAAAAAGCCAAAAGTGGCACTGTAGCTCAAGTGGTACAGCACTAGCCTTGAGCACAAAGAGGCTCAGAGACAGAGTCCAGACTCTGAGTTCAAGCCCTATGACTGGCAAAAAAGAGAATTTCATCATCAAACTTCTTTTCTCATGGTGAATGGTTAATTTTATTGTGTGTGGGTGCTGGTCCTGGAGCTAAGGGCAAAAGGTTTTACCTTTATCACTAGCTCCCACTGGCTCTACTATCTCCTAGACATTCACCTGCAGCATTCAAGAATGGGCTTAGAGCCATAAAGTCAATTCCATGTTCTGACACAAACTCATTAGGATGTTCTAACATTTTAGGCTATATTGGGCAAATGATTTAGCCATGAAAGAAGTAAAACCACGAAATCCTCTTTAATGAGGTGGCTTCAGGATATGGAGGGAGTGGGGCTTGCTTTTTTATTTGCTGCAAAATTTTTATCATCCCATATCTTTAAAGAGAATTCCTCAGGCTAAACACACACACACACACACACACAGAGATTACTTTTCATCATCAGGATTCAAACTCAGCATCTTGACCTAGAACACTGGACTGTTAGGAAAATTATCATTGCCAAGTGTTGTTGTAGACACCTCCCTTTGCATAAAATACAAAGAAATGTGTCCATATGTGTCACCCTCACAGGGCTTCGGCATGTCACGGATGACCAAAAGATTTACAAGAACCCCAACCTGCGTGCTCAAGGACAGATTCCGTCTCCCACCAAAACCCATTCCCCAAGCCCCACGTCTCCCAAATCTCACGCTCCTCAGAAACATGCTCCAGTGTTTGAATTGGAAGGAAAAAAGTGGAGAGTGGTGAGTAAAGTCCTTTAAACTGTATTCTTGACACACTCATGGTGTGTCAATGTACCGAGGTCTTAAGGATTCCTAAAAACCATTGGCTGGAATAGGAATCGAGAGATTTCTGAAGGCTTCCATTGTTGTTGTTTTTTTCACTAGTTCTTACGCATTCTCTCCTTCAGTGTTTTTTTTTTTGTCAATCATGGTAAAATATATACAACATAAAATTTACCATTAACCATTTTAACTACATTTCAGCGGCATTAAGTACACCCATATTGCGTGCAACCATCACCACTATTCATCACGGGGCACTTGTCATTTTGCTGAACTAAGGCACTGGGCCCACAAACCAGGACTCCTTATCCCCCTTCCCTGCAGCCCCTATCAACCACCATTCTGCTGCCTGTTTGTGAATTTCACTGTGAATTCCCATAAATCTTTAACCAAACAGTGAGTGAAACCATTAACCCAGGGAGATGGAATCTGTGCCCAACTCTGATGTGCTATAGATTGTTTTGTTCCATGCCATGGATCGAGGCCCTGGTAGAACAATGTGCTACCACTACCATCTACCACTTTCAGGGCTAATTATGTGAGCTGAGCAGAGACACCGAGAATATGAATGAAAGCTGGGTATCCTCTACCAATCCAGACAGTTGCCCTACAGATTAAGAACCAAAGTTCCTGGAAAGGTTGTCATGACCTGAAAGGACATGGAGCTTGGACCCTGCTGTGACCCTTCCCCCACTCCTCTCCTATTTGACCCAGCAGATTTTGCATTAGCATGAAGTACAGACTGAGTTAGCATCCGTGTCTCAACAACTCTCATCCCCCTGCCCCAGACACCCCCTCCCCTACTAGCTCGGATGCCAACACCTATCCCTCCCAAACAGCATTCCATCCATCCATTCCCATCAATTTTTACTACAAGAGTTTATCCATAATGAGATGGTCCGTAAAGAAAGAGTATATGGAAAAGGCTATCAGCCTGATGAGCCCATAGTCACTTCAGTAGGCATTGGATTCATTTTTAACAGGTTTTATTGTCCTTACTTTCAATATCTGTATCTGTTTTAATTTTAGGAGTACCAAGAGGACAGGAATGACCTTGTCATTTCAGAGTCTGAACTGAAACAAGTGGCTTACATTTTCAAATGTGACAAATCTACTCTCCAAATAAAAGGGAAAATAAATTCCATTACAATCGGTAGGGCAAAACTATGGCTCTCTAGTCCCATGAGTTGCTTGCAAGGAAGATGCTATATGTATGTAAGTGAGCTTTTGGATCTTTCCCCCTTAGATAATTGTAAGAAGTTTGGCCTCGTGTTCGACAATGTGGTGGGAATTGTGGAAGTGATTAACTCCAAGGACATCCAAATTCAGGTGAGTAGCCTTTCTAATGATGTTTTGCCCTGGCCATGGCTTTGCGTAGACCAGTATGCCTGCTCCTCAACCCAGAAAACTCCTGCTCCCTTTCTTTCCACATATGGCTTCCTTCTTACCTCATCTGTGAAGAGCACCAGCAGTGGCCAGGAGGGAGAATGGAACAAAGGGAAAGCCACAACCTTTAGGAGGATTCCATTGGAAAGATGACAGGTTAGGGTAAAGAATTCAGGATGAGCTGGTCTGAATAATCCCATGTTTTAGAGGATACTATTACCTGGTGCTTGGTCCTGGGATTGTGTGGGACAGGGAGATAATGGTTTAGATGGTCAGAGTTAGAGCTGGTTGAACCTGTGAAATCAACATTGGTTCTTTTATATGTAAGAGATGTGCTTCTGATCAAGCCTTTTCAGAAAGGACTAGTCCTGGGAGAGGCAGTATTTTTTTAATTAGCCTAGCTATACAAGGGAGAAATTCATTGTGACATTTCCATGCATGTTTACAATGTATTCCAATCACTCTCCCCTGACTCAATCACTCTTTCTTACCCCATCCCCCTTTCCTGAAACAGTTTTAACAGGTTTTATTGTGATTATACTCATAGTTTTACACTCAGATTGGCTGGGTGCAAGGTGTCATGTTAACTGAATGCCATGCATACAGGAAATGCAAGCTTACAAGCCTCTGTCTTAAAAAGTCTGAAGGTCCAGGGTTGTTACGCCCCAGTATATATATTAATATTCAGAGAGTGAACCTTTTACACTCATTACAGAGCAAATTAGCACCAAATAATAAAGCCACACTTAAAACCTTTGGCTGAGTAATTCTGCTTTGGGGAATATACACTGAAGGAGTTCTATTACCTTTGTCAAGGAGACATGCAATAAATTCATTGTTCCATCATTTATACTGGTAATAAAAATTAAAAACAATTTAAATGTGCACTAACTAGTGACTAAATAAATGAATCTTCCCAATAGAATACTAGCTAGTAGTTAAAATGAATAAACTAACAACAGTCAAATGTATCAAAACAGGTAACTATAAAAATAACATTGAGCCATAGAAGCCAATTACAGAATGGCAAGCATTGTATCACGTGTTCATTTATTTTTAAAAAATCAAAAACATGCAAAACAACATACGCACATATTAAATACATTTATGAGAACTCAAGAGCCATCCTAATCCCCTTAATCCAGTGGGGAGACCTGATGGATTATAAACATGATAATCCAAGGGGGAAGAGAGAAAGGAGGTGAGGGAGATGGTTCGTGGCATATAGGATATACCATACTACAAAATTATAGTCTAAATCAAACAAAAAAAATAATAGGATCCAGGTGTAGTGACTCAGTTCTGTAACCCTAGCTACTTAGAAGGCAGAGACTGGGGGTGTTTGGCTCAAGGCCAATACAGGCACAAAGAAGTCCAGGAGACTCCATCCCAAACACTGTTGGGTGCATTGGCACAAACTTGTCATCTGCCAGTGACACAGTGAAGTACAAGAGGAAAGACCATAGACCCATCCAGACCAATCACAAAGTAAGAGCCTGCCTCGGAAATAAAGCTGAACTGGTAGAGCACTTGCCCAGCCAGTGCAAGGCCCTGAGTTCCTGAGTTCAAACCTTACTAACCCACATACACACACACACACACACACACACACACACACATCAAGAACAAGTAGTAAACAAAACAAAACAAAATGTCACACTCTGACAAAACTGTTTATCAGCCTCCATGTATTTATATGGTGGACATATATGCATTTATATTATTCCTTATATGTTTTATGTTTGAAGTGTACTAATATTTTAAGGATATAAATGTGCATACACACACATACTATATCTCTGAACAGATCAACTAGGGTTCCCTGAACAGTACAGATAGAAAGAACTCAATGGTACAGTTCAGAAACCAGAAAAGACATTTGACAGAATTCTTTCTGAACTTTCACATGTTCAAACCATGCAAATGTCATGACCTATTTCAAGAACTTCATAGTTTTAAAAGAGTCTGGACATGTTGAAAACAGAAAGCAGATTAGCAGTTGCCTGGTCTTAGCATGGAGGCCATTAGAGATATTTTAGGGATGATGGAAATATTCTAAAACTGTACTGTAGTGATGACTATACAGCTCTTTAAACGTATCAAGTATCATTGAATTGTACATTTAAAACGGGTGCATTTCAAACAGGCATGTTGAATTGAAGCCCCTTTGTACAACTACTTGAGGAGAATTTTTAAATAACCAAAATAAACTTCAAAAAGATAAAAACAACAAAATAAATAAATAAAATGGGTGAGTGTTATGTTTGCACACTTTTACCTCCATCATGCTATTAAAACTGAGAAGAGGGGGTGAGGAGAAGGCATGGATTTGACTCCGTTTCTTTGGCAAACTGTCCTAGGAAAATATTCAAATTATGGCACAGAGCAGGGACTATAGAAGTTAATGGAACTTTTAAAAAATGATTGTGAAGTAATCATTTTGTGATACACAGTCGTAAGAGGCTAGCTCAGTAAGACTACGTGCCTAACAGGTAGGGGGACCTAGACCCAATCCCCATCACCCAAAATTCAAAAGCCTCACTACATCAATACACAAACATGTATGAAATGTAAGAGCGTTGGCCTGGGTAGGCTCACCTGCTGCCTGTCACTCAGCGAAGGAGCTCTTTGGCTCAGCTCTCCTGATAAGAAACAACCCCTGTTCTCAAAGTATTCACAGACTACCTGGGAAGAAAGACATGGGTGTAATATGCTCGAACTCAGTTTTCACCAGACCACTGGTCTTAACATACCAGGGCTATTTTCATATGATTGCTGTTGCCTTTTCGAAGAACGTAGGGTGTTTCGGCATTTTAAACATCGTCTCACAAGCTATAAAAGATAAACAAAATGTATCAACACTAGGCACTTGCCTCGCTAGTCTCTGCTCATAAACAAAGCATGGAAGGCCTTTAAACACCACCGACAATTCATTCCTTTCCCTTCCTTGCCCGACACTCATGCAGTTCTCCTTGGCATATGAATGAATATCCTCCGTCATTACAAAATAAGCAGATCTAGAAATCATCAAGACATGGCACATTTTTGAAATGCACATGAATACATTATTCTTTCATCTGTGGCAGAGCCCTTTGCTTAGCTGACCTTGAACTACCTCTGCCTTTTTCTTGCATTGGATTCAGTTCCAACTCAGCACCATTTCTGTAGTCATAGAAGAAGAGGAAAGAGAGAAGTGTGGTGACCTGGCTAGGCGCTCCCCCAAGGAATTCTTTACATCACCTGCACCAGCACAGGACTTGCTCCTTGGGTTTGCAACGCAGCCTTTTCTTCGGGGTGAAAGAAGAGATTTCTTTATCGCTTTAAATTACCATTACAAGGAGGAAAATTATAGAGCTGTAATATGGTCTTTGAGAGAACAGTGTCCCCTATGGAGATTTGGAGGGGATTGTCTACAAACTGATTGCTGGCAGAGAAACATATCTGAATTTTACAGCATTGAGATATTGGTGAACAATATAAAAGAGTTGCCTCCTTTTCTCTGTGATCCTGTTTATCTATATAATGAGTGTCCTGAACTAAGCCCCTAGTTTGGGCTCCTGAAATGAATACCTTGAAAATAACTAGACATTTATCTCAGTTGAACTTCACATTCAGCCTTGAGACTTTTTTCTTAATCCAGAAAAGGATTTTTTTTAATTGTATTTTCTTACCTATTCTGAAGTTCAGGAACAAGCTCCTCAGTTTCTACTCAAGAATAATCTTATTATTAAATGTCAGTATTGATTCTTGTAGTCCCAGTTTCATAGATATTTGTTAAAACTAAAAAAAAATTAAGCACATAAAAGCCAACGTGTCTTGTTTTGGTTATCAGGAAATCAAATACATGTTTCAAATCCACTCTCAGGATTGTAAGGCTTTTCTGAACGTTGTGCTGCTATTTCCAAATGAATCCCTTAAATTTCACCTCAAGAAAGAGCCCCTGAGACTTAAATAAGAGTCCCCTTGTGTGGTCCTTTCAAATCTGTCCCCAAATGACATGTACCATATTCAGTCAGGAGGCATAACCATTAGCCATTCTCTCCAGTTCTGACCCAGCGATTCCTAAGGCTTGCTTAAAGTTCAAACACACAGTGGAATCGAGATTGTAATTGTTTGAGAACATTGTCATTTTTGTATCTTTGCTTTGGTCCCAGAAGGTGTTGTTTGTTTGTTTGTTAATTCAGGTACTAGGGAGAGTGCCAACGATTTCCATTAATAAGACAGAAGGCTGCCACATATACCTCAGTGAAGATGCATTAGATTGCGAGATTGTGAGTGCCAAATCATCTGAAATGAATATACTTATCCCTCAGGATGGAGATTATGTAAGTACCTTTCAAGAGGCTGTCAAGAATTTCTTTCTGAGCCTTCATTATTAACATTCTAAGAGACGGATTAATCAACTACCGACCGATGAAGTTCACTTGTGGAATAACTCACAGGCAGAAGAGGGAGGCGGGGAGCTGCTGTCCACATCCCCTTTCTTCTATTAGCTTCTTGACTAGGCTCACTCCTTGATTTGTGACTCTCAAGGCAATTTACTAGTAATTACTAGTAATTGGTTAGCTTTTATCAACTAGCACAGTATGCATCTGAGTTCCTATGATGTGACTAAATATTTTACTCTGCTCTGATGGAAATAAGCAAGAAGGGAAAATGCATTGTGGCGAAACTAAGAGGAAAGAAAGGGAATGATAAGGAGGTAGACCTATTTGCCTGGGGTACTCAGGCAGAGACTCTCCTTTTAACATAGGAATTAGCTGAGCCTAGCACTAGTGACTCTTGTCTGAAATTGTAGCTACTCAGGCAACTGAGATCCAGAGGATCAAAGTTGGAAGCCAGTGCAAGCAGAAAAGTCTAAGATACTCGGGCTGGGAAGTAGCTCAGTGGCAAAACGCTTGCCTAGCAAGTGCAACGTCCTGGGTTCGATCCCCAGTACCAAAAAAGAAAAAAGACAAAAAAAAAGTCTAAGATACTCTAACTCCAAAATTACCAGCAAAAAACAGGCTGGAAGAATGGCTCAAGTAGTAAAGCACCAAGAAAGAAAGAAAAGAGAGAGAGAATTCGCTGGGAAATCTTGATGGACAAGCCAGCTCCACATCCTGAACCTAGAAATTCAATTTTGGAAGCTTGCAGTGGGGCCCAGGAATCTAGGTTCAAACAGAGCTCCCAGGTGATTTGAATGCCATCCATCTATCCAGTGTACCCTCTAAAAAACACTAATCCAAGATTCTACCAGCATTTCTTGTCTCTGCCTCTTCTCACCAATAAGGCAGCTTCTAAAGGATTTGTGCTGATCTTCTCACTTAAAGAAGCAAATATAACTAAATAAATCACACTGCCTGGGGTCATGACATATTGTAGATTCACTCAATTGTTACTTGGAAGTTGAGAACTAAATACTGATCATTCTCTGTGAATCTGACTCTAGAGGGAACCAATAAATTAAGAAAGGACAGAAGGAAATGTACCTTAGTAGGTACATCTTTGAAAGAGAGGGCATGTCAGCCTGAAGGGATCAGTCATCAAATGTCAACACAGCCATCAGCAGGCAGGTTGAGCTGTTTCCTCGGACAACAGGACTGCTCCCAGGAGCTCCTTCTCCACGTATCAGAAAGTTCTGCAGGGGCTGGGAAGGTGGCTCAGTGGTAGAGCGCTTGCCTTGCATGCCTGAGGCCCTGGGTTCAATTCTGCAGCACCACATAAGCAGGGGGGAAAAAAAGCCGGAAGTGGTGCTGTGGCTCAAGTGGTAGAGTGCTAGCCTTGAGCTGAAGAGCTGAGGGACAGCACCCAGGCCCAGAGTTCAGGCCCCACAACCGGACCCCAAAAAATAAATAAAAATAAATAAAAAAGTTCTGCAGAATTCATTATTTCAGTCTAAACACACAAAATCTGTAAGCACTGGGCCATACTGCACCACTTGGTGAACGGATAGCCTAATCCTGAACTATAGAAGACCCCTGTTAAACTCACGGGTAATACAGAAGATCTTCAGAGGAAGAGAGCATAAATTAATTAGGTAATTCCTGGCCTATGTAGCTGTGTAGGGAGAAGGAAAGCTCAGCTGTATGGAAACTAGACCTCCTAGGAAAAGCAATTGTGTTTGGATGAACACTCTAGACTAATTTAGCTAGACTCTTGGCAAATGACCCAAGTATCTGTAATTTTTTAAAGTTTTCCAGGTCACTCCAATGTAGACCTAAGACTGAGTCCAAAGGGAAAATCAAATCACCATTCTAAAGGATAATCAAGGCCTGAGCTTTTGTGCTGAAAAATAGTCTTACCTTTGTGGCAAGACTCTTATCACCTTGTACCATCAGCTCTGGGCTCTCTTCATGCCCTTTCTAGCTGAAGGTGGTAGAAACAGAAAATCTGCCATGGGCATTATGATGTGGGAATGGGTGGAGGATGTGATTCACCGGTCTCCATCATCCTCTGGCTTTCGAAGTTTGGGCAGCAGGGCCATTTCTCAGCCTCTGTGGATCCTCTTTATGAAATATCTGGAGAAGTTCAGACTACCTGTACTTTGGCTTTTCTATGTTTCCTTGCATGTAAAGAGATAAGGAAGTGTGTATCGGAGAGTGTAAATGCATTTTGCAATGATTAGTGGAAGGGTGGCAAGATGGAGGCATACCAAATTCGTATACAACCCTGAGCATAATTTTGCCATTTCTCAAAGAGTAGACAGATAAATCTGACATAAAGTCTATCAACTCTGGTGACCAGGAGCCTTGATGTCTCCTGAGAGCTTGCTTGCAAAGCAGATTCTCTTTCTCTTCCCCACACCTACAGAATCAGAACCTGTAAGTTAAGGTACCTGGTTGACTGGCTTGCATGTACAAGGCTGGTAGAAAGCAGTGGATGAGAGAAAACTACAGAGAGACTACCTTAGTTTAGACTCTGGATGCTCTGCTTACCAGTGATGTCATGTTGGGCCAATTGCTTGAGCTCTCTGGCCTCTGCTTCCTGTAGCTGGCATCTTGGAAATGACTGGTTCATGGAGTTGCTAAGGATCAACTGAGTTTGCATGTGTCTGGTGCTTAGATTGATGCCTGGGTCTTCCTAGTGACAGAATGCGGTCACTAAGTGGACAAATAGTATATGCAAGTCTCCATGTCTCAGATTCCTCACCATGCCTGGTTTGGGGGATGGATCACATTTCTAATCAGCCTTCTCCTTATTTGCAAAGAGAAGCCATCATGTAATTAATTTTGTCCTTTGTGCCTTTTTCCAGAGAGAATTTCCTGTTCCTGAACAGTTCAAGACTGTGTGGGATGGATCCAAGTTGGTCACTGAACCTGCAGAAATTATGGCATAACCTCCACAAACTGAAACCCCCTCATTCAAGTCTCTTTTATCATGCAAACAAACAAACAAAAAACACGCAGCATTAAAGAGCTAGAAGCCACAGTGGCAACTACTGCTTTAGTTTAAGCCTCCAGCAATTCTGTGCTATAAAATCAGTGTCATTTTCTGGCATGCTTTGTGGGCATTTTTGAGATATTTAACATTTCTTCATAATTTGCCTTTTTGTGATTTTAGTTCCACATAGTAAGTTATAAGCACTGCAAACTTAAAAGAAAAAAACAAGAAAATTAACTCTGTTCCTTCCATATCAACACAGTAACCAATAAGTAAAAATTCTGCATGATTCAATTCTACACTCATGTTTAATTGTTAGCTCAAGAACAAAACCTTTGAGAATTTGTGTAAATGTTAAACAATTTGATATGGTGTCATAGCCCTGTACTGGAAGACTAGGAGATTTTTTTCCCTTCATTTTACTACATGTTCACCTCTTTCTTAGCATGGATGCATCATTAGCATGAATATTTATTTCAATCCACATTTCTTAAAAGCATAAGAAAATTCTATGGGAGGACCAAATGCAGTGTGTTGGTCCTTAGAAAACTAATATTCTTTGTAGTTACTAAAACACAAAAATAGGTCTAACTAGGTCTAATTTTTCAAGCAGGTCACTTGGGAGGAAGCAGTTTCTCTTTTTCCTTTTTCTCTTTTTTCTTTTTCTTTTTGGGAGCAGGTACTGGGGCTTGACCTCAGAGCCTCTTGCTTAGGTATTTTTTCACTCAAGGCTGATGCTCTGTCACTTAGCCACACCTCTACTTCCCAACTTTTCTTTTGCTAAATAATACCTCACAGTTTTGCCCCAAGAACAATCCCATTTTGGGGGTCCGGTCGTGGGGCCTGAACTCTGGGCCTGGGCGCTGTCCCTCAGCTCTTCAGCTCAAGGCGAGTGCCCTACCACTTGAGCCATAGCACCACTTCCGGCTTTTTTTTTCTGCTTATGTGGTGCTGAGGAATCGAACCCAGGGCCTCATGCATGCAAGGCAAGCGCTCTACCACTGAGCCACCTTCCTAGCCCAACAATCCCATTTTGTTTTCCAGTTTCAAACATGTTAAGTATTAGAAAGATGCTTTGTAAAGGATGTCTTTCATGGTTTACCACAGAGGAATTTCTTTTCCACTTGCCAGGGTTGCTAACCAGTCTCAGAAATGAACATGAAAAAGCCATAGATGCATAGCTCCTTCTGAGATCTGATGAATTGTTTGTGGGCTTGGCTTGCTGCTTTTCTTTGGTAGTCCTGATACAGGCCATTCATTTTCAAAATAAATAACTTATGATAATCCTTCATACCTCTCAATATGAAGTGCTGAAAATTCTGAAACTTCTTGGGTCCCACATAATGAAATGTAGTATAATATTTGCCAAACCCATACAAGCATATATATATATATATATATATATACACATACACATATATATATAATGTGTGTATGATAACCTTTGGATATAGCATTTCTGTTTTTAAATATCTTGTATATCTATATAGCTCCTGTACTAAGGTTTTACTATAAAAGTTTTGTCCATATGAATAATGTTGTGGCTTTAGTAAATATAATTTTTGAACTGTAAACTTACTCTAAAATAAAGTAAAACTCTAATTGTTTAAATACTAGATGAATTCTTGATGTTAAAATTATCATCATTGGGGGGGTTTTGATTTATGTTTGTTTGTTTATAGCATTTTTTACTTAGCCCTTAGATCTAGGAAAGGTAGCTGTGTAGATGAAGTTAGAGAATTTATTCAGTAAGAATAAACAATATAAATAATATAATTCAGACTTTTAAAGAGTGGATTCTTCAAGACTGATATCATATAAAGCTATTTGCAGTTGATTTAGAGAGTTCTGAAATCCAGTTTTATAAAGCATAGCCCCTCCACTGACAAAAACCTCTTTGGATCTTTTGCAAAGGTACAGCTTCCCCGAGTTAATTATTTTATATACATAATGATTTATGTCATAAATTATAACATAAATATAAACTATAAGATAAGTCTCTGATTCGCCATTTCCTGCCTCAATATTGAACATGTGTTTGCCAGATTACCTTGGTAAAATTTAACTAGAGATGGAAAATAGGTGATTGGAGACAAAGATCTCAAGCCCCTCTTTCTGACACCACACCCTGAGGAATTATTTCATGAGCTTAGTATTTCCAGAATGGCTTTCATTAAACATGTCCATTTGAAAAGAATTTATTTTAAACCCTTGGCACTTACTATACCACTTCAGATACAGATGCAATTTTGAGGGCTTTAATTGCTTCAGTGAGACCAGCTGATTGTGTAATGTTGCAGACTTCTCATGCACATTTTCATGTTTCTGCACATGATAAAGTTTATATCTCCACTACAAATGGAAAGTAAACCGGTTCAAATTATTCTGTGATAGTTCTGCCAGATTTCTCCAAATGGTTTTTGATCCTCTTGTTTGCATAATAGCATAGCACAGAATGTGTAACTCACAAAAGGTAGAGTTTACCTATAAGAGTTTTTGTTCAGCTTTTCCTCCAATACAGAGCATAACTGTATCTATATCTATATATCGATATAGATATATAGATCTATCAGGCTCATTGTAGCTATTCAAGAAGCTGAGATCTGAGAATTGTTGTTTGGAGCCACTCCAGGCAAGAGAGTCCGTAAGAGTCTCATTTCCAATTAACCAGCAAAAAAGCCAGAAGTAGAGGTTTGACTCAAGTGGTGGAGTACCAGCCTTAAGTAAAAAGCTAAAGGATGGTGACCAGGCTCTGTTCAAGCCGTAGGACCATCACCAAAAGAGTTTAAAGATAGATTTTGCCTAAAATACAATTATAAGCATTTTATTTGTCTATACTTTCAATACCATGCTTTCAGAATGATTAGTATACAAAAAATGATGCCCTGGTATTGACATAAAGACCCAGATTAAAGAGTTGCATTGCCCACTAAACCATAATGCTAATATTTAATATTATTTGCCTATATCACCACATTTTTTCTTTAAAAAATGAGTCATTTCCTAATATCAGTCTTTCTCATGGCAACTAATCAGAAACTACATTTTTAATTTTTTGTCATTTTTAACAAGAACTCGATAAACATATTTCTTTCACTCAAATGTCAGTAAACCAAACTGGTCACTTTTGGTTCACAGCTGCAATCCTAGCCTCTCCAGAGGTCAAGATGAGTAGGAATGCAGTTCCAGGTCAGCCCAAGCAAAAAAGTTTGTAAGACTCCATCTTTACAGGAGCTGGGCATGATGCCCCATACCTGTCATCTCAGCTACTTTAGGAAGTGTATTGTATTGTAGTCCATGTATGGGCCTACACAAAAGGCAGGACCTTAATGTCAAAATAAGGACTCTAATTACAAAAATAAAAAGGACTGAAGGAGTGGTAGAGCACTTGCCTAATAAGACAAGGTCTTAATACAAAAAAAAATAGTCAACCTGCTATGGAAAGTTGTCCTGTGAATGTAACAGTACTGTAGATTTTCTTGGGAAGATTGTGATTGCTCATTGTCTCTGTGCAGCATAATCACAGCCACACCTAATGAACAGTGTGTGATCTCCTAGCAGGGCTTATGCTAACAGCACATGTCAGCCAGGCCCAGCAGCCTGCCCTGCATGAGCCCATATTACGACAGTTCTGGCATGATGCATTTCTCTTCAGCTTGAAAACTGCAATAGCGAAGTTAGGTCAGTTCCCAGAGAGTGATTGCCTTCTGCCATCAAGCTTCCTTTATGGATACTTATAGCCACTGCCCTGCAGCATTACTGAAAGATACATAGAGGCCTGGAGACATATTTTACAGGAGCCATATAACAAATGGATCTTCAGAAAATGTCATAAATTTATAGCCATATGATTTTTAAAGGAGTTTGTAAGTTTTATGTACTTTTCGTGTTTTGACATAGAAAAGTTGGGTGAAGTAACCAAAGCAACACTAGACTTTCCTCCACTGTTATCAACTGCTTCTCATAAGTGCTCACAATGGTGGCAAACTGAGGCATAGATTCTGGTATTTACTTGGCTAACTTCATCAGAAAGAAGCTAATTATATCTGTGTACCAAACATAACACTTCAAAACTCAAAATATAGCCGGGTGCCAATGGCTCACACCTGTAATCCTAGCTACTCAGGAGGCTGAGATCTGAGGATCATGATTCAAAGCCAGCCCCTGCAGGAAAGTCCGTGAGACTCTTACCTCCAATAAACCACCAGAAAACTGGAAGTGGCACTGTGGCTCAAGTGGTAGAGCACTCACCTTGAGCTGAAGAGCTGAGTGACAGCAGCCAAGTCCAGAGTTCCAGCCCCACAACTGACCAAAAAAGCAAAAAAACTCAAGATACCCAAACTACCCTTACAATATCAATTTACCCCTATGCTACATTGCAGCTGACACCCAAGTACCTGAAGGATTCTTTTAATGGAATTCCATTCAGAAAAGGGGGAATTCAGGGAATGATGCTCGTCGTCAACTAAAATCTGGTACGTAGACTTTATCAAAATGTTCTGTCATTTGTTAGCATCTAAAATAATTGCATCAGCAATATGGCCTACATTCTGCAGCCTGCTTCTACCAAATGGCTACACAACCATTTTCTCTAATTAACTTAACCTCTTACTCTACAGAAATAACTTTTTCCCTTAAAAAAGGAGCTTTGATGTCTCACCAAATACATTTCCAAGAGTTTTTCCTCAATGAAAAATACACACTCATACTTCATTAACCCTGCAAAGAAAAGTAAGCTGGATGCCAGTAGCTCACACCTATAATCCTTGCTAGTCAAGTGGTTGAGATCTAAGGATCGTGGTTCAAAGCCTGCCTGGGCAGGGTAGTCTATGAGACTCTTATCTCTAATATAAAACTACTGAGAAAAAAGAACTGGAAGTGGCACTGTAGCTCAAGTAGTAAAGTACTAACAAGGCTAGTTCAGGAACAATGCCCAGGCCCTAAGTTCAAGTTCCAGGACTGGCCAAAATAAGGGGGGTGGGGAGGAGTTTTTTGTAGTTAGCCAGAAGATATACTTAACATGTGGAGCTAGCAGAAATGTGCCTCTTTGACAGATACCTATAGTTACCTTAACAATGTAATTTTTTCAAATGAAATCAATGTGTTACAATTGGCTCCAAATACAAAAATAAACAAGTATACAATAGTATACAATAAAAATACCTATAGCAGAGCCCTTAGTTGTCCATTAAATCTCTTTCTACTTCCCAGACTCTACTTCCAAATCTCTTTAAGTTAGATGGCCATGTGGCTAGATTGTCCTTGAAGGAATGTGTTAAGAAAGGTGTCTAGGCTCTGGGAAGGTGGCTCAGTGGTAGAGTGCTTGCCTTGCATGCATGAGGCCCTGGGTTCAATTCCTCAGCACCACATAAGTAGAAAAAGCCAGAAGTGGTGCTGTGGCTCAAGTGGTAGCGCACTAACCTTGAGCTGAAGAGCTGAGGGACAGCACCCAGGCCCAGAGTTCAAGCCCCACGACCAGCCAAAAAAAAAAAAAGAAAGAAAGAGGGTGTCTAATTTTACTCTAGAACTGATTTTTTTCAGCTTTTTTTTAAATTGTAAAGATACTATACAGAGGGTTACAGTTACATGAGTAAGGTAATGAGTACATTTCCTATTGAGCATTGTTACTCCCTCCATTGTTTTCCCCCTACCATCCCTTCCCTCCC